AGTGTGATAAACGGTAGAAGCTGTGAGCCCCATAGCCGTTGTTCACTTGTTCTGACCAATAACCGAAGCGAACACTATATAGCCTCAAGGAAGCTGGTGACTTGAGGTACAGTACAAACCTCGGATCCTATGACTAAAACACGTCGTTGACTTAAAGCGCTTGACAACCGTCAAATTTAGTACGAATACAATTCACAGACTTTATTTCCACATTAACTTTACTTCCTTTCATTAAATGTAGCGGCACAAAAAAACCAGAGACGGAAAGGTCAACCAGAGGTTTATCATGGGGTGCGAATAAATGAAGAAAGTTAAGCATCAGCGGTTGTGTTCCATAAGGGGATGAGTCTTTTGCCCATGATGCTAGACAAACACCGCATCTTGGCGGACTCAAATAAAGTCCGGAGGTGCAGCAGCAACTGGATGATATACAACGTCTACTCCAAATGCATTTGCCGGACTAACCGTTAAACGAACACTCGATTTATCGGTTATGATCTTCCCTATATCGAAAAAGCCTCCAAATAAACGGTCACCCGCTTTTACCAAAGTAGCATTGACACGTATCTCCTTCGTGCAAGTCACACACGTCTCTTGCGTGTGAGATTTGAAAGTGCTTAACTTGCATTCAAACAAAACATCTACGTGCAGTATTATTACCTCTAAATTACTGTTTGACCCGCAAATGACACTACTCTGAAGTTAGCTCTTGCACGAGCTTCATTGAAAGACAGCTTTACTTATTTTTTTGCGATCGACTTCGGGTTAGACAGCACTCCAGGACTTCCAGAACTGTCAGTGTCAGAGACTCCATAGAGACAAAAGATGACAAAGGAAAGTGGGAATTTACAAGTACAATCTCTATTTATTACTTTTGATTTATTTTCACACACGTCTGAATTCAGATTGTGCCAAACAAACCGTGGTACAGTAATCTTCATAAAAAAATGGTGGTAAATGGTGGTTAGATCTACGATGATCCCGAGGTCCACATCCGTAGAGCCTATCGGGAATCACGTAACCCAGTTTCCGGTAAGGGGTCTTATACCCTCGTGCCTATGAAGAGTATTTGGTCCAGAATTCGGCGAAGGGTTAAATTGCAGTCGATACAAAATCGACCAGGTCTAAAAGCAGTCCGATTCTCACGCGAGCACCCTTGGCGCACAGCAGACAGCCGACGGAGTAGGATGCCAGCGGGAAGTTTAGATTAAACTAATTTCCCTGAAAAGGACTGTTACCGACGGTTGGAGCTTTCTCGATTTCTATACACTCTCCTACCCACCGCAAAACGGATGCCTACAATACAATGGCAGCAATAACTGCGTTTTGGCCTTCGATGCTGAACTCACTGATAGTCTCTACGTTCAACCAAGCGCCAAAGGACTCAGTGAACAGTGGACGTAAAACAAGGAAGCTATGCAAATTTGAATCAATACAACGGCGAGTTCTGGCGTACGATCGAATCACAAACGAAGGATTTCTTCGACCTCATGTACCTTGCTCGTGACAGGCGTGTGTTGTTGAGACCAGTGTGTTCCACTAGGAAGATCGAGTGTGACGATGGACCGGCATGTGTAAACTTTATCGACTATCGCAGCCTATGTGGGGTAATTAGCGCCAAAAGTGGGTTTCTTCTTTCGTGAGATTTTCCCGCCACATAGAGAATATTTGAATGTATCATTGAAGCGATCAGTCTACTCTTTCGAAGAGAGCTGAAATGGCAGACATTTCAGGGTCTTAAACTGTGTGCACGATGAAATCGGCTAAATTCAGCTGATACAAACAGCGCTCCATTAGCGCAGACCATAATCTCGAATCTCATACCGGTTGAACAAACATTAAAATTCGTTAGTGACTCCATCATTGGTGATGGATCTTCAGAAAGAAAACATTTGGTCAACTGAACTACGTATTGATGGGAGTCGTGTGTTTCCCAATAACCATGCAATTTTAGTTTTTATGAATTCTCTTTTTTCTCTTTGACTCTACTCTCATCTTTCCAATCTTCCTTTTGCTTTTTTATCCGTTTGGGCAGCCTGAAACAGCAACCAAAAACCCGACTTAAAGTTGCACGTTAAATGGTTGTAAAAACCGAACTGGACAATCTAATGCAATAAGTGAATTTGTGAAATCAAAAAGTCTATCGCCGCACAAAACATCATACTCCACAGTTCTAGAATGCTAGAAATGACATCTTTCGCTTCACTGCTTTGATTTCGATTGTTCGCATGTCTTCAATGATGTCCTGTGTCCCCTCCACAAGGAGAGAATCATATTTCAGGTCGATTTTGCACATTCGTCAGATAACTGTTTCGGAGTAGCGTAACTTTTGTTTTAATCGAATCGCCAAGTATGCGCCGATAGCCGCTTCTGAAGGAAACTGCGAAATACGGATGACACTTAACCGATGATTGTGGTAGCATACCACTGTGAAAACCACAGAGTGGCGATCTGCGCGGTCAACCAAAGAGACAATTTCTTTCTTGTTTAACACTGGGTGATGCTGGTATTCTATTCCTATTCCTATTAACAAACTGAATCCGGAGGCAACCTCTCTCTGCGGTTCTCAATCCAACTACTTCTAAGGATCGAGCAGTGAGGAGTCTCTCTGATCGCGTCTAGATTGTCGAATCTGAGGTCGACAAGATCCACAAATATAGGGAAATTACCAACCATTTGACTGGATTCAATCTCACAGTTAATGTGCATGAGGTCTTCTTTCCTGGTCCAGGGAAGGTAATCCGAAGGTTAAATTCCGCATTTTGTCAACATCTGAGGTGAATGCAATCCGTTTCAACACAACCTTGTGCGCCCAGGAAGTTTGTAAAATC